AAGAAAGAAAGAAAGAAAGAAAGAAAGAAAGAAAGAAAGAAAGAAAGGAAGGAAAAGAAAATGAATAAGAAAGGGCCTTTTAGAACACATTGCAGAAAACAACAAACAAAACAAAACAAAAAAAACCCCAAGGTACTAATAGAGAATAAAATTACAACTAAAAATTCACATTAACTAAAACTTAAAAGCAAAACCTATTCAGAAGTCTTGAAAACACCTTAGTGATGTCACTGTGCCCTGCACGCCTCTCACTCTCCAATAACCCTGTGTAGCTTCCTTTGCTACTTTCTGGGTCCTTCTTTTTCCCACCCTCTACCCCCCCTCCCCCTGTTTCACCCCCTATCACTAGACAGGAGAATAAGAAGGATAGAGGGGAAAGAGAGAGATAGAGATCTTTGAATTTAATTTCTCGTTTCTTCTTTGAGCATGACCTACTAACAAACTGCAACCAACAGGGGGATTGGTGACAGTTGGTCACTTAAGGGGTAATGACCAAACACAACCCACCTATGGGGCTCTAGCATTTATATACCCTCCGAAAAATCCCCAGAATTCCAAACAGCACACCACTGCAGAAACTGTCTCCAACTGATAAAACCACGCCTCTGAGAGAGCATGAGGCAAATCAGCACATCCCACACCTGGGATTAAAATGAAAGCATATTCTTATAATATTTCTGTGGTTTTTTTTTTTTTTAGAACCTCAAATTCCAGAATTCTCAATGTAGGGTTTCTCTGTGTAGCCCTGGCTGTCCTGGAACTCATTCTGTAGACCAGGCTGTCCTGGAACTCAGAGATCCAGCTGCCTCTGCCTCCCAAGTGCTGGGATTTAAAGGTGTGCTGTTATGCTGGAGAGATGGCTCAGCGGTTAAGAGCACTGACTGCTCTTCAGTAGGTCCTGAGTTCAATTCCCAGCAACCACGTGATGGCTCACAACTATCTGTAAAGGGGTCTGGTGCCCTCTTCTGGTGTGTCTGAAGACAGCAATGGTAGTGTACTCATGCATAAAATAGGTAAATCTTTTAAATAAATAAATAAATAAATAAATAAATAAATAAATAAATAAAGGTGTGCTGCTGCTCCTCCTCCTCCACCAAGTCAGAACCTTCTTGATGTTTCTTCTACCTACTCATCTCTTCTTGTTTATGTTAGATTAGGAACCTGGTCATCTATCTGTGAGAAAACAGTTGAGGCCCTAAATTTTAATTCAAGTACCATCTCAAAACTGAACACCTTGAATTCTAGCAATGGGTAAGTAGAGGCAGGCATATTTCTGTGCTTTCAGGGCCATCCTGGTCTACTTAGTGAATTCCAGGAAATCCTGGGGGTACTGTAGTGAGTGCCTGTCTCAAAATAGAAGAGGAAGAAGAGGAGGAGGAGGGGGGGGAGGAGGAGG